GCAGATGCGAAAGTGTTGGGCAGAACATGTTATATTTGAGGGTTGAGTTGTTTTTATCACATTTTGAGTTTGGGAACTCGGATTTGGGCAATTTTAGAGAGAATTTTCATGATTTGGATTGGGGTAAATATTTTTTACTCGAATTTGATTATTTTTCATAAGTATCGTTGATTTTGGTATTTGATTGATGAATCTAAAAAAAATTGGGGATTTTGTCAAAGCTTTTCTAAAGTGAATATTTGAGTTTTGAACATCATTTGGAGCCGGGCTTGAGTGAAATTAGTATGGTTGGACTCGTATTCGTATGGGTTGTCAGAATTTGTGAGTTTTGTGGGATTTTGGGGTGCAGGCCTGTGTTTACATTTTGGTTGACTGTGAGTATTGGATTAAAGATTCGACCTTTATAGTTTGGATTTGATTCCTATGAAATTAATTGAGGTTTTTGAGTTGCTTTTAGCAAGATTCGAGCCATTTGAAGGTCGAATCATGTGGGATGGAGCTTATAGAGTATCGATTTGGCTTGCTTGAGGTAAGTATCTTACCTAAACTTGGTTGCAACATTAGTTGCCTGAGTTATTTGTAATAGCTATGTGCTATGAGTTGCGCACATGTGTGGGGTTGAGCCTATGTGCATGCACTGGGGTACTATTCGGGGTAGTGTTTAGGCTATTATATGCCTTAGATTGACTATTAAGCTTCATGCAGTGATGATTCTTATATTTGTACCCCTGTTGTGAGCTACTTAAACCATGTTTGAGGTTACATATCCTGATTTGAGCTATGATAGAACACTTTGCACATGCATATACTTTAGCATGTCACTTATATCAGTCCAGAGTATGAAAATTGATGTTTTATGATCATGTACATCTATCCTTATAATCTACTTTCTGTGTGATAAGGATTGGAATGGTAGCCAATGACCATGCCGGGTGGATTGTGATATCTAACATGTGATGACGCTGGGTGATTGTGATATTGAGCATGCGACCACGCCAAATAGATTGTGATATTTAACTTGTGACCATACCGGGCGAATTGTGATATTGAGCATATGACCATACTAGACTGATCTGTGATATTGATCATGTGACCACAACATACAGATTGTGATATTGAGCATTTGACCATGCCACATGGATTGTGATATTAAGCTTGTGACCACGCCGGGCAAATTCGTGATATTGAGCATGTGATCACACCGGGCGAATTATAATATTGAGCATGTGACCACACCAGCCAGATTATGATTATTGCACGTGACTATATCGTGCAACGTGTGTATATAGATCCATCCCCCTAGAGTCACCCTCTCATGTTTCTTCTTGATAGTGTACACGCAGATTGTGAGAAACCGACGAGTTTTTGGTTGATGTGGGATCTGGGAGTGATGATCATTGATTTGGTTTGGTTACTAAAATTTTGATGTGGGTCTTAGAGCCGTGATTTGATTTCTATTTGGATCGGGTTGTATGCCACAAGAGATTGGTTGATTTGGATATTGCATTTCATCTTTACTTGCAATTCCCTTGGTTGCTTATCTGATTTATTTGCATATCTTCTTTATATGCTGGATTGTTGACTGAGCAGAGTACTTTAAGTTATTGTGTGCACCAAGGTGATTTTATATGTGACTCATGACTTGATCATATTATTGTTCTGTACTTGTTAGATTTATAAATTGTATAGGTCATTAGCGAGTATTATTTATAATTATTGCCGCTATTACCTTGCCGAGGTTAGTTATGATACTTGTTGAGTATATTGGGTCAGTTGTACTCATATTATACTTCTGCACCTTGCGTGCAGATCTTGGAGCTGGGATGTGGTGGATGAAGGAGTGACATTGAAGATGTACCTATTTTCCAGTTATAGCTACCACATGTCCTTGGTAGTTTTAGATTCAAATTTTGTTTATGTACATTCCAAAAAGATGTTGTATTTATTTTATATCAGCTTTGTAAATCTAAGTTTTAGTGACTCATGACTTGTAATACCAAATCCTTGGGTGATTGTATGGATATTCAGTTATTTCACTTATTGATTCCTTATTTTTTTCGTTAGAATGGTGTTGACTATTATTTGACTTACCTAGAAGGTTGAGTTAGGTGCCATCACGACTAGGTGAATTTTGGGTCGTGACAGAAAAGGTAAGTCTCTTAGCTAACCTTGTTAAGAGGGAAACCACCTAAGATTTACTTAATTGCTATATGTTTGAGGTATTGGGATATTGTATATGCGGGGTGGCGAGCGTGTATACATGTACCAAGTTATATCATGTCAGGGGTAGAATTGAGTTGCTTTATGCCCTGTTTGAATATGTGCTCATCTTGATTCATGATTTACTTAGCTTATATGACTACGTTTGCTCTCTTATTCATGTTAGAAGTTAAGCCTAGGTTTATGATTATTTATGAAAGCATGAGAGCTTATTTTTTATATGTTGAATTGCTTGAATTATCCATAGTCATATAGAAATTCCATGAGCACATATCTGCAAGATTATTACTATTAAGTTTTTGTGCATCTTATATCTATTAATTCTTACTCATATGCATATGTATCATATTTGGATACTTAATCTGGAATGAGATTATGGCACGAAAGCAAGGTCGTACAGTTGAGATACAATTATGGCGCACAGGACATGGCGAGCAGATATTTGATTATAAGTGAGCTATCAAGCTCATTTTTGAGCTTGGATAAGGATCTGTCCCTCGAGAGTCAGGTGATTACCAATGTTAATTTGGGCCTTAGGAGCATGGTCAATACATAGATTGTGTATCGGGTTTCAGTGATACATGGATTGTATATCAAGTTTAGTGATACATGGATTGTGTATCAAGCTACATGAATCGTGTACCGGTTATGGTGAGTAATAGAGTTTGAGCATGGATAGATATCCCTGATTCATTTAGAAGTATTCATTTAAATGATAATTATTCCATGTCACTTACATATGCTAGTTGGTAGCCTTGACCCCTTTGATTGAACCATGCCATCTTTAAACGTCTTATTTGAGTTGCGTTATAATTATCTGTTGAATTGAAAAAGCATGCTTTATACTTTTCGACTATTTTACATCTTTAATACATGTTGTTCATGCGATTATTTACTATTTCAGTTATAAGCTTTATTATTTATATTTGTATTGTAAGTATCTTGATGCATATAGTCTCTTCACTACTTCTTCGAGGCTAAACTTGATACTTACTAGGTACCAATTGTGGTGTACTCAAATTATGCTTTTTCATATCTTTTGTGCAAATCCTCACGTGGATACTATCGGGGCCTCTTGTTGAGCCTAGGTGTTCACTCAGACTTAGGCTAAGCTGCTTTCTATGGATTCACTTTTGCAGTGCCCGAGTCCTTGTATTTTATTATTCTCTGTCTATTTTCATTATCTCGAATAGTTTGATCATGTATTTAGACTTGTACTTACTTGTGCCACCTAGTCCTTAGGGGTTGTATTATTTTGGTCATGTTCGGACCATGTTATAATTGTATAGGATATTATATTGTTTGAGATTATTCATGTCTTTATTTGTGAAATGACTCTGTTAAATAAAGGAATATAGACAATATTCTGTTGATTGTGAATTTTCTTGCTTAGCAAGTATGGCTTGGCGCCATTACGGCCTAAACTGAAATTTTGGGTCGTGACACATATAGAGAAGATATGTAGTAAAAATCATATATACATCCAGGGAGTTTACATATAGAAAAGAAACGCAAAGTTCAAACACTAATTAGTTTTCCATAATCCACGTGTACGTCATCATGAAGAAACATGAGAGAATGACCTTAGGGGGATGGATCCTTATCTACATGCTGCACGGATAACTCACGCGGTATAATAACGCAACCTACATAGACCACTTATGTGCTGCCAATCCAGTCCATCGTAAAGAAAGCATATACAAGACTACATGTATACAAACAACAAATATCAAATCCCATACTCGTGGACTGAGAAAAAATAGCATGCTAAGGTGTATGTAATGAGTAGCATGTTCAAATAGGAATTCAAAACCTATACATGATCTCTAGTATGGTTCAAGAAGTTCATGTAGTCATACAAATGACTAAAACATGAATCATAGAAAGCATACAATCCAAACAAGGCCTGATAGAAGCCTAAAGTCTAATCCGGTCATAAATAATCATACATAGCACCCTCATATACACTCGTCATCTTGTATATATGTCGTCGCACACATTCTAGTAAACAAATAAGGTCAAATCCTAAGGGTTACTCCCTCACAACAAGATTAGGCAGGATACTTACCTTAACAAGCCCAAATCAATCTTCCAAAATCATCTTTCCTTTAAAAATCACCTCTAACAGACTCGAATCTGGCTAAATAACTTGATAATGTTAAACCAATATCATAGGAATCAATTTCAAATAATAAAGCTTCAATCTTCAATCAATTTCCAAAAAGTCAACAAAGTCAACCCTGGGCCCACATGGTCAAAATTCGAATCTAAGGGTAGATCTCGATTACCCATAACCCCACGGGTCTAAATATGTGTTTAGTTTTTAAATTCACGTCCAAATCATACCTCAAAATTAAAATTAACACGAGAATAACTTATATCTGGTTTGCTAACCAAATATAATATTAAGGTGGTATTAAATTTTTATACCACCCCTATACCTTCTTATACCTCATACCAAACGACCCCTAAGAGTTATTCATTTGTTGAAGTTAGGTATTAATGGTATACTAATAGGGCAAGGAAATGATTTAACATTGGATATCATCGAGCTGCTTGTGGCGTGACTTAGAAACAATTTCTTGAACTTTTAATTGGGCAGCAAAACGTAAGTTGCTTACTCATGTGAGAGAATGAGATAAGTGGTCAAGGTTATGAAAATATTATCATGCTGATCCTGCCTTTATAGGAGCGGGCTGCATTATTCCTTGCAGTTGTTAGATCTTTTTTTTGGGGTAGAAGTAGTTGTTTAGATCTTGTTTTCTTGTCGGCTGGCACATCTTGTGTGGAAATACTGACTATTTACTTGTGGGTTTCCTCTGCAGTATGATGCATTTGAGATGGGTATTAAACAACTGATGAATTTACTAATGCGGATATATTGGAGGCAACTTATCCTGCTGTTGCAAAGAGATTAAGTGGTGATTGGATGAATAATCCTGCAATCCCTATTGTCACTGGGTTTCTGGGAAAGGTGCTTTTTGTAATTTCTTCATGCATTTGTTGTTGGCTTGTGCAGGATTGTGTGATCCTTTGTAATATCTTTTCAGCAGGGGGAGCTAATTAGCTAAGTTGATTGGCTCTCTCTGCTTTTTTTGAAAAACCTGAATCACTTCCTTTGTCGAAAGAACCTTATTGTCATCTACATCCTCATTTTTTGACGTTCCTTAGCTGATTTGCTATGGCATCCTTGTCACATTTTTGTGGGGTTAAAACTCCCTGCCCTTCTCTATTCAAAAGAAGCGTGCACTTGCGGCAGCTTGATTTTGTGGCTTCTGTCCCTTTTGCTTCTGTACCAAGTAAGTATGCGAAGTCTTCTTGTTATGAGAGTGTGATGTGTAAAGCACAAGCAGCTGATGTAGTCCAGCTTAAAGAAACCAAGAATGAAGCTTTTGGTGAATTTACATGCGTGATGAAGTTTGGTGGTTCATCAGTAGCCTCAGCTGAGAGAATGAGAGAAGTAGCTGATCTTATTCTTAGCTTTCCTGAAGAGAGACCTGTTATTGCTGGCTGGGGAAAAGGCTGTCACTTGTGGGGTTTCCAATGTTTGTGATCTGCAAGAATTGGATTTTATAAAGGATCTCCATTTTAGGTAAAGATGAGCTCTTTCATTACGAATGTTAGTTTCCAGGATCATTCTTCATCATTTTGATCTTTTCTAATCATTTTTTATGTGCCTCACACAGGACAATCGACGAACTTGGAGTAGAAAAGTCTACCATTGAGTGATTTCTTGGAGCTCTGTGATCATTTTTGTTCTGTTCCTCTTTGAAAAATTAGAGTAGGGGAACACTTGATTTTCCGAGGTTCTAGCAAATTGTTTTTTTGTCCCTATACATCTCAGGGTGCAAAAATTTTCTGAAGTTTATTATTGAGCCCTCTATCACCTGCATTATCAAAAATTGCTGCAATTCTAGATTTAGTAAAAGTGTGTCTAATGTACGATTGCCCTGTATCACAGAAATTTGTTAAAGCTTGCATAGTGATATTCTTTTGGACTAAATTAAATTGAACTCTTATATCCCCCTTCCCCTCCCTCAGAATTGTTTTACAAGCTTTCTTGTCTTGATCCATTGTTTTACTCTTATGAAACTTTTAATGAGAAATATATACTACAACTCATAAATGAATGTTTTCAGCAGCAGATTTTATGACCTTTTAGTGCTCTGTGAGTATTTTGTTGTTTTCATCCATGGGTTCTTCTATCTGTTGCTGTTATGACACCAGATTATCTCAGAAGTAAAATCTGAGTCTTTCTGATTATGCTCTATCATTTTTCGGGAAAATTTGCAGAGCATCTACTTGAATTAGAACAACTTTTGAACAGAATTGCTATGATGAAGGAGTTGACTCCACGAACAAGGGATTACTTGGTATCCTTTGGAGAGTGCATGTCCACAAGAATATTTACAGCCTACCTGAATAAACTCGGTGTCAAAGCCCGCCAGGTATGTACATATCTTTTCTTCTGCTATTATTTGGATAAGACATTATTTTTTCAGCAATTGCTGATGAATAATACGATGTTGTTAGAAAAAGTATTTCAGTGGCANATACGATGTTAGAAAAGGTATTTCAGGGGCCGATAATTCCCTTAGTGCCTCGTATTCTTAGATGTAGAGGACATGCTAAGGGGTCGTTTGGTTGGAATACGGATTATGCCCGTATAAATTATGTTGGTATAAGTTATGTTGGTATAAGTTATGTTGGGATTAGTTATGCTGGGATTGTTGTTTATTCACTGTTTGGTATGTTGTATTAAGAATGACAATTGCATAATTTCTAAGGAGAAGGTATAAATTATACCGGTGCTAATTACCCCACCCTCTATAAGGTATAAGTTATCCCGGTGTTAAAAAGATGCAGGTAAAACCTCAAATTTCATCTCAAAATTTCATGTTTTAGATGCTAATAATCCAACTTAAATGTACTGCCTAGGGGTACTCTTCGCGAATATGGTCCATGTCTTGCGTTCGCGAAGCACAAAACTACTTCTGCCAGAATTTCCTCTCCGTGATCGTGTAAGTACCCTCGCGATGCCCTGCTTGCCACAACTTCGCGAACGCGACACCTCTTACGCGAATGCAATGCCTTCCTGCCAGCTATCTACGCAAACATGACCATGCCTATGCGAACACGAAGGCCAAACTCCCAGCTCCTATATCCTTCTTCGCGAATGCAACTTTCCCATTCTCGAACGCAAAGAGCAAAACTCCTGCAGCTCCAAATACACTCGGCGATCGCGAGACTTGCTCCGCAATCGCTAAGCACACCAAACATCAGAATGATCTGCCAACTTCAACATGCTCCGGGTGGTACGAAACTTACTCAAGCCACCCAAGACCCCGTCAAAACATACCAACAAGTCCATAAATACTATCCGGACCTATCCAAAGATCCCAAACACATATGAGATCATCACAACTACAAATCAAGGATCAAACCACAAGTTAAACTTTTCTTAAATTCAAGAACTTCTAAATTTCCAACCAAGCATTCAATTCATGCCAAACCAATTCGGATCACAACAAAACTTTTCACATAAGTTTCATATAATAAAACGAACCTATTCTAAGTTCCGGAGAAACAATCAGAGTCCGATATCATCAAAGTGAACTATCGGTCAAACTTAATAACTCTCCAGTTCTTCAAATTGTCAGCTTTCGGCAAGTCTCAATATCCTCTAGGAACTTCCAAATCTAAATTCGAACACACGCCTAAGCACAAAATTACTATACAAGCCTATTGAAACTATCAAATCACCAATCTAAGATCGTTTATGCAAAAGTCAAATCTTGATCAACTCTTCCAACTTAAGGCTTCCAAAATGAAACTAAGTGTTCCAATTCACTCTCAAAACCCATAAAAACCAAACTATCCATTCCCTCAAGTTACAAAATATAAAAAACACATACAAAAAACATCTATTAACAAGATTTAGATACTCGATACCATCGATCGGATCATTACAAGAGGATACGAAAAATGAAGAATGTATTCAATGTGATCATACAACATGTTTTGAGGGAGGGCAATGCCCTTACAGATTATTTAACCTACCTAGCTTTTATTTTTGTAGGTACAACTCCATTTTATTCCTTCTCTGAACTGCCTACTGCAGCAAGGAAGATACTTGATTTGAACAAGATACACACTCCTAACCTAAGGATTAGGACAGCCAAAAAAAGAGCTCCAGATTGATGAAGTGGCAAGCTGATTTAGGGTTTGGTTTGGGCTGTATGTGTACAGTATTGGTATCTTATTCATTGATGGGCTTCTATATGGTGCACAATGTATAGGAAAGTTATCAATGCGTGAGAGTGTTACGACCATCATACTACAGCTACTAATTGAACCAACTAAAAGAGATAAGGAGATTGGAATATGCTTGATTCTGCCTACTCTCTTGCCTTGCCTAGCGTTTATAGACTATCATCTTTGTATATTTTTGGCAGTCTCATACAGATGTATGCAACACATGCTTGATCAAATGATGATGTTGTTGCTCCTTTATATATAACACCCTTCGTAGGAACACAGCAACACGATAGCATGACTCTCTACTACATTGGACTGCAACTTAAACTACTACATATGGTCACAATATGTTACTGTTTCCACCGGAAAGTTTTCATTGGGGATTGATTTGGTTGTTGCAGATTCACATCTGACATGCTTGGATTGGAAACATTAGTGCTTGGTGAGAGATTTCGAGGTGCTAGTACTTGGTTTCTGCCCTTGGCCTGTGGATACATAGACATCATGGTCCTTATTTACACATTGCTCTAGCTTTTCTCATTATGTTAGCTTAGAAGATCATGTATTCTAAGTTAGCTTATCATCTTGTATTTACACATTGCTCTAGCTTTCCTCATTATGTAAAGACTTGGATATTTTTTTTTTCTATTGATATATATATATATATATATATATATTAGCCACTATCATCTGCCTAGTAGTATATTTGCTCAAAAAAGTAATGCTTCTCACGCACTCGAATTTTAGTGAGACAATTGATTTCCATATCAGTACGAGGTGTTAATAACACACATGTTTTGCTAAGAAAATGTGCTGTCACTAGCATAGTTAAAATATCTATCTGGTCGTTGCAGACAACTCAAAGGAACTATCTATGTATTTCGTCAAATAAAAATCCAATGGAAAATATCAAATAATAATAACAATTATTAAATGAATTCAAATCGAACTTATTAACTTGTCGACCAAATTGTACCAAACTTAAAACTAATAAATCGGATGCACACCCTTAGACATAACTTTTTTTTAAAGTTTTCACGGATTAATGCTATATTTTTTGTTAAAGGGTTAATGCTATATTCAATTTATTATTATGCAAAAGTTATTGAAGCCTTTGACTTTATTTCATGTAGAATCTGAGTTAACACAATTGCAATGTGTAACAAAATTACTGGAAGGATAACGCCATGCAAAAATTAGAAGTTACAATAAAGCCAAACTTAAATAAAAATTTATCAAAATCACCATTCCCTTGGCTGTTATGCTCTTCATCTCTCCCATACCCATAACCGCAATTCAGTCATTAAAAAAAGGCAGAATATTTTAATAGACACCCGTACTTGTTTCTATCTGACATTCGGTCCCCTTACTCTATAAAATTTTAATTGGACATCTAAACTTGATCAAATATATTATTTTAAATCTCTTTGACCGATGACCCAAGTTACATAACATTGACTAAATTGAGTTGGACAGTATACATGTAATGCACGCGGATGAAGAGAGTGAGCAATGGTAATTTTAATTTAAAAGATTAAAATAAGAAGAAAAAATAAAAAAGAAGAGGTAGAAATTAAAGTTAAAAAGAGAAAAAGCAAAATTAAAAAAGAGGCTGAAGAGTCCTTCCTCCTCCCTCGTTAGTACCGTCCGTTCCCCATCCCCCATTTCTCTTCTTCTTCCCCTCCATTCTTCTCTTCCTCTTCATCTTCTCCCTCCATTCTTCCAGTGGAGTTCAAATGAAACTTATGAAGATTCAATTGATTTTTTGTTTTTAGTTACTTATAAGTGTGGGATTTGACTTCAGTTGGTTCAAGTGGGCTTTATAAATAAAGATTCCAACTTTCTTCGAATTGGGTAAAGATTCTTGATGAGTCCCGTTTAAATTTGTTGTAATCTTCAAGTTTGCACTGGAACTCTCTATGGGATAGTGAGTGAAAAAGGATAGTGACTAATAATTATTGAATAAATATTCAAGTTTTCTTCAAATTGAGTAAAGATATTTGATGGGTCTTATTTAGTTATCTGTAATTTTGAAGTAAATATGTAATAGAACTCTCCATCAATGATGTGACCGAAGAAAGGTGCTTTTCGTGAAGGAAAAATAAAGTAGATAAAGGAGTAAAACATGAAAAGAAATTATATAGTGTTTAAATAATGTGAAAAAATAAATTATTATTTTATCATGAAAAATTTGACGGGGACATTGATGTGTCATCTACGTCAAGCAAGTGAGCATCACACACCTGTGGATGTGTTTAGAATATCATGTTTGAACAAGTTTAGGTGTCCACTTGAAACTTTATAAAGTAACGGGGCTGGGATGTCAAATGAGAAGAAATACAAGTGTCTATTAGGCTATTATGTCTTTTAAAAAAAGTTTCAACCTTATGGTTTATTCGCACGATTTCTCAAATGCTTCTGGTTCTGTTTATTCGGTAAATAGACATATAAATTAATTATATTTTGCTGTTGCATTTAACATTTTTAAGATGTGTTAATCCGTTATTCTTCTTTTTGATGGATTTTATGTGTGTTCGCAATAATTTTCCATAGTACGGAAAATAAAATGCAACAAAAATATGAAGAAAAGGGAGATTTTATTGATAAATATTCATGAGTACAATCATATGCATCCCTTGATTCTCCTCTATGAAATTTTTCGTGATTCGAGGGTTTGAGAAACATCTTTCTCCAATGTAGGATGATGCAGACCTCCTTGTGACATATCTAATTGCTAGGAACGTCAAGCAACACTTCGTTGTTTCAGGTTGATCTCCGGAAAGAACTCCGTTGATCACTTCTTTGTTGAAACACTTTGCACTTGAAGATTGTTCTCTCTGTTTGTGGATGCGTTCACTAATTACGGAATGCTCTTCTCCAACTCTGAATCTCCTCAAAGAGTTATATAACCCCTATATTTATAATTATAGGGGATGGATAGTCCAGTCACATAAAAATTCCCTTGCTTGATTTTGATTGGCTCGTGTGAGTCATAAAACTTATCACACAAGTTATCTGATTAGCCTATTTGTGATTGGCCAAGACATGTCATATTATACACTTGTCAACCTTTGGTTGGTCATTGCTTTTTGACTGGGATTGCCACATTATTTTAACATGTGGCATCATCTTATTGGCTTGGAATTTGACTGGACATGCCATGTCACTTGACACATGGCATGAGTTTGGGCCTTAAGATGAAATGGACCTTGGGCTTGAATATAAAATGGATATATTTAATTTGTAAATTTCAGATTAATTATTCGACCCAAAATAATTTAGAAGTTAGTGAAGTTTGTATGGACTAACTCAATAATTTTTACATGTCTACATATTCCCCCTACTTCAAGACTTATCGGGGTGTAGACTTGTTAAGTCCGCCGAGACGAGGCTTGAAGTGCCAGCGAATGACACAATCCTTTAAATTCGCATCCAATATTTTCTTAAGACCTACTCGTGATACATTCTCTTCCAAGTGTAGTTTGAAGTGTTCGAATCTTGATTTTCTTTGCATCTCTTATAATGCTAAATGGATTAATATCCAGAGTTAACATTATATTCCTTATGTATTTGTAACGACCCGACCGATCATTTTGAGTATTTGCACTTTGCTCGGTAGTTTGAGCGTAGGAATAACTTCTTATGATGTATTATAACCTGTGTGAATTCTCGATTTTGGTTTTCAGGTTATTCGGAAGTGATTTGGAGGAATGAATTTCATAATTGAAGCTTTAAGTTGGAAGAGTTGATCAAGTTTGACTATTTAGTATTTAACCTCGAATTGGAGTTTTGATAGTTCTGTTAGGTCTGGATGGTGATTTTGGACTTGGGCGTATGCTCGAATTTGCATTTAGATATTTCTAGAAGGATTCGGCACTAATTGGTAAAAGTTGGAAATTTGAAGGATTGGAAAGTTCATAAGTTTGACCGAGAGTTGACTTTGAGGATATCGAACTTGGATTGTGATTCCGGAAATTGGAATAGCTTCCTTATGTCATTTGGGGCTTGTGTGCAAAATTTGGGTTCATTCCGGGTTGATTTGATATGTTTCGGCGCGAGTTTTGAAAGTTGAAAGTTTATTTAAGTTTGAATTGAGGTGCTATTCATCGTTTCGTTGTTGTTATGCGTGATCTGGGGCTTCGAGTAGGTCCGCGTTATGTTATAGGACTAGTTGGTATATTCGGGCGGGGTCCCGAGTGGCTCGAAAGAGCTTCGGACGAGGTTCGGATCGTTGGGGTCATTTTTGGCTAAAGCTGCTGGTGGCAGGATCCGGTGTGCTTGCACCTGCGGCTGGTTTGCGCAGGTGCGATAGTCGCAGAAGCGACAAAGGAGTCATAGAATCGAGGTGAGAGCTGGTGTAGACACCTGATTTTTGACCCTCCCCGAGAATTTTCACATTTTTAGCGTGAATATGTGAATTTAGGTCTAATATAGCTATTTTGACTATTTTACTTTATTTCGTCGCAAAAAGAAAAATTACAAAATATATATATAAAAATTTTAGTTTATGTATTTCTCATAAACTTGAAAAAATACAAAAAAAATTGTACTTTATATAATTTCGAAAATCACCAAAAATATAGTTCTATTAATGTTTTGTAGTCATTTTAATTTTGAAAAATACAAAAAAAAAATATTACTTTATATTTTATCTTTATATAAAAACGAAAATTACAAAAAAAAATAAT